AAAGTTGCCTTGCATTGCGTTGTTCAACACACTCTTGTTGCGTCAGGTTGTCATGGCATGAGTGTCTTCGCCGCAGATTTACGATTTCTTTCAGTGGCCCCGCGACGACCTGTCTTGCCGCTATGAACCCTCACTATTGCGAGTACCACATCGAGAGAGGAGTGGAATGGATTCGAATTTACACACCGGGCACGTGGCGACCCGTAGCCACAGATACTCTGGTTCGTGCCCCAAACTACGCTTCCACGTATCGGGAGTGGCGCAAGTCATATCACTTTGACGTGTACTTGCCCGAAGACAGCAGCGGAGGAACAGCTGCGGACCCCAATGTCACGCCCAGTTCGTATGTGTCCTACCACGTGTGGGAGTACCGAGACTGGGAAACACGAGGGTATTCGTATGTGTCCTACCACGTGTGGGAGTACCGAGACTGGGAAACACGAGGGTATCAACGTCTTGGCGTTCCTCTACCAGCCATTGGATCGGCGGCGCTCGTGAATGTAGAAGCTACTTCCTCGGTGGAGTCATCAGTTCCGGATGGGGCGTGGCGGGAACCTTCACCGCCGCCATTCTATGATCCTTGGAACGATTCGGATTGATACTTGAGCAACATGTCGGTTAAAATAATGCGAGTGTGCCTGAGTTGATTGCGGCATCAAGTTGGGTTGTCTTGGATTGTGTTGTGTTTTCCGTCTTCATGTTTTTGCCGCTTCCCTTTTGACCCCGAGCGGCTTCCCTGGATGATATGTTCAATTCTACAATATATGGCGCTGCAAGATGGACCCTGCCACGCTACTTTGAGTACGACATCGTCAATGGCCCTGCGAGCACAAGCGTTGAATGGATTCGGGTCTATGTACCTGGTGGCAACCAGTTGCCGAAAACACCTTGGGACCTGCCCCGGAGGACTCAACCACCTATCGGGAATGGCGCAAAGTCTACCACTTCGAAAAGTGTATTGGCCTAGGGACAGCACGGGCGGCACCAACATGGGCTCAGTTTCTCAGCCGGTCTCATATGCGTCCTTCTATACATGGCAGTATCGTGACTGGGTCACCAGAGGATATCAACGGCTCGGCCATCCGCACCCCAACATTGCACGTCCAGTTTTCGCTTCGGGATCACCAGACCTCATGTACGCTGGACTGACCTCTTCGCCGGCATCCTCGAACTCAGATGGTGGCTGATGCTCGTCCTCGTCTTTTCTGGATATTCAATTCAATTTGATTGAGGCGAGTGACTTCGACACCTGAGCCGTGCCTCGCTACAAAAGTGTTTGCTTGCATGTTTGATGTTGTGACACATGTAGTAATAGCTGTCTGCAGCCGTACACCTATCAATCTGTCATCAAGGGTTTGAGTTGTCATGCCGTGGCTGGAGTGTCCGGATCCTCAACAACCAGATGCCCAGTGGGTCAAGATCTTTCATCCGGGATCATGGACTCCACAGGAAGAACATGATGCTCCACCTCCGCCTCACACATACAGAGAGTGGAAGGAGTTCTATGTCCCAAATCCTGATCAAGACGGTGCGCAGCCCAATGACAGAATTTGGTACAAAACAGACTGGGCCACAGAGGGCTATCGGCGAGTCGCTGCCCCTCAAGCTGGTCATGACTTCGACTCGATGTCTTTTCCTGATCAACATAACGTGGCCACGCAATCCTCAGCATTGTGTATGTCACCGCAAATGTTGGATGCGATTCTTAGATCCTCGGATGCGGCGGCTTTCTCCACTAAGTATCTGACTCGTCTTCAAGATGCGATCTCTCAACAACTGTCGGATCGCGCACGTCATGCATCCCAACAACACCAACCAGTACGTGCATCTCGTGGAGTTGCACCACCAGAGTCTATTGGAGTCTCTGATCCATACCGGCCTACGACCCCATCATGCAGCGCCACCGCCAAGGTGAAGCCTATCTTCGACCTTTCTGTTGGCTAGACTGATGCGTGTTGGGCATGGTACAAAAAAGGGTGGTTTTCATGCTTGTGCTGCCTTGCTTGGTTGCTGATTGTGCATGATTGTGCATGGCGACTGTTTCTTTACTAGCTGGATCTGAACCCGTGGTACGCCCTGTCTCTCACTTCGGCATGGACATCGAGGAGGCGAAGCAGTACCCATGGCTCGAAAAAACTCGGTCTGGCAGGATCAGGAGTGGGTGCGGGTCTATACTCCAGGACAGCCTCAGCCATGGCAACCAGGAGAAACCGTACCTGATCTACCAGACAACTCTTTTCGGGAGTGGAAGCGGGTAACTGATCCCAGTGGTGGGACTGGTGAACACAGTCAGGCGTGGACCATTCGCGACTGGCAGCATCAAGGATACCAACGCATTCTGTCTCGCAGGGAGTCCTTCTCTACACATTATGCCCGTGATCAATCACTTGTTGATGTGCAGAATTCCGATGCAATCCCAGTCGAGGAAATGTTCACCTATGCTACCCCTATTTCTGACGGTGATCGCTCGACTGCTTTGCAATTCTCTTCAGTCTTCTATGGCGACACTCGTAATGCTCATCGTGGTGATCTTTCGTTCCCGTCTTCTGAGCGGCTTAGGGCTGTTTCGCGTTCCCCTCGCCGCGGTGGATATTTTGGTAAACGATAGGGACACAAAGTTGAGCATGTGATCTTCCTGCCGAAAAAGAGACTTCTCGCCCCTCATTGAGGGGCGTGTGTGTGCGGAGTGACAGAATGCCCTGTCACCACCATGTGCAGCAGGGGCGTGCAGCACCTTTGGCATACTGCACGCAATGAAGCTATTGCCAAAGGTGGGAAGGGTGTCCAGACGTGGACACCTGTACCTGCTTCAGTGATTCTGAAAGTCTTTTTGGCCCCCTTGGTTGCGGCGCTGTTTGTGCTTCTTGTTCTTTCGGGTAACGTTTTCGCCTCTAGAGAGAAGCCAAGTGACTTGCACATCAGTTGTACTCGAGACTCATCAGTTGTACTCGAAAGATTAGCACCCTCCATCTGGAGTTTAAGTGTGTGTGTGTGTGTGTTTGTTGTTACTAAGGCGCCTTCTTTCACGGCGGCTTAAACGGAACCTTGAAGCCATGCTTGTTACATACCCATGGGATTTCCATGAAAAGGAAGCCCCCCATTTTGGAGGTCCAAATCTCTAGTTTGACAGGACAGAGAAAGGCGCAGGACTACTGTGAGCGCTCATGTGAGCCACAATCAAAACCCGGGTAGATGAAGGTTAGTAAGGGACAATCCCAGCCATAAATAGTTGCGGCCGCCGTCGTATTTCCTTACATGGTTCTGGTTCAACCATTTTAATCCCGGGTTTTGATTCTGACTCATGTGGCTGTCTAGAAGTAACTTGCTTCTCAGATCTGAACTAGTACAGTGCCAAGACTCGACGGCCTCTCGGGTGAGGCGAGAGGCGACATAAGAACAGCGCACATGCCCAGCTCTGATGACCTTTCCAGGCTCCTTTTTTCTTCAGTTCCGATAGGAAATAGGTGCCCCTGGAACACCGCCTCATACCGCGCGCATCTGGAAAAATATCGACCCCTTCTCACGTTCAGCTGGGGGAAGAGTCGAGTTTTCGCACCAAAAAAACCGACCGCGCCTTCCGAAGCCGCTGTCTCTCGTTTTTTTCTTCTTTTCAGGCTCTGAAGGTGACCAAAGTGGAGAGCGGGGAGTGGGAGCCCGTGCTGAAGATCGCCCAGACCACCACCCTAGGCTTCAGCTCCGCCTACTGGTCCAACGATGACCTACTAAACGCCGCCTCCCCGCTGACGGAGGAGGCGGGCGATTTTGCGGCTCCGGTCGAGGTCCCAAGGGCGAGGCCACGCAAAAGCGCAGCCGCAAAACAGGGCGACCAATATTCCTCCCCCTTTCCAGGTGTCACTAACGTAGCAGCTGTGGCATCAGTTTCCAGTTGGAGGGCCCCAAAACGTCAGCCATGACGTTGTTGGGGGGTAAAGGCAGAAGCGGATTCCACCCATTGAGGTGGACGCCAAGTACGGCGGCTACCTGACGATGTCCTTCAAACAGACCTTCGGCCCAAGCGGCCCACGCCAGTCGCGAGGGGGGGGAAGGGTCTTTGTCCTGAATCCCTCCGCGTCTCGTCGTGGATCGTGGAGTTCAGACTGGTGTGCCCCGTGCTCCGTAAACGTCATTGCCTCAAGGACTTCTTGTTTTGTGTGTGTGTGTGTTACACTTATGACTCATGAGCGATGATGCGCAATCCGCAACAGCTAACCAGCCATCACCGCTTGCTGTATTTGTGGCCACTTGCGTTTGCGTTTGGTTCCATGTTGCATTTGATTTCCATTTGGAAAGCAAGCACTGCCTTGTATGTATATTTGCATATTTGGTCGTCTTCGACCTGCATCAGGATAGAGCCACAGGGCCTCTTGATTGGGGCCCATGTGGACCCCTGTTTCCAACCTCCTGGGTGGGAGGGTCGAAGGCTCGCGGCAATCGCAGGCGACCAGCCAGGGGCACGCAATGGGAAAAAGGAGGAGGCGAGCACGCCTTCCATTTCTTGCCCCCGCCGTTTTTGTTTGTCTCCTTTCGTCTTTCTGTGTTTTGCTTCCTGTACTTTTTTGCCGCTTTTTTTTTGCCTATTTCGGGGGATGAGTAATGAGGTTCGGGCGCGCTCACCTTTGTGTTTTGCGCACTTTGGGCGTGCTCGCCCTTATTTTATTTATATTTATTTTTCTTGGGGGGTGGGCGTGCTGGCGATCGAGCACTGAGACAACAACAAGGCAAGAACAAGGTGACACAGAAACGGGGGAACGAAAAAAACAAGAACAACAAAAACCAAAGAAAGAAAGAAATGAAAAACAAAATGAAAGAAACGGGAGGGGCAGTCAAGACTGCCAGCTGGCCTGCCCCCACCAGCCGCGTCTCACTAAGGGAAACCAAGGAGGAGAGCGTGCCGATGAGCACCTCGAAGGCGAGCGCGCGCGGGAAAGAGTGCAAACCATAGTTAGCGCGCCAGCACCCCACCCCTCCCCCCCGGAAAGAAAAAGAAAAGGACAAATACAGAAAGAAATGAAAGAAAAAAATGAAAGAAAGACGTGAAAGAACGACAAACAAAAAGCGAAAGGGAGGCGGCGACCACGCCAAGGGGTTCCATGTGTACATTTGTCCTGCAAAGGCCAAGCTGCTTGCGAAAGCTTTCTCCTCGGTTTTCCAAAAGAGATATCAATTTTGATTTCACGCCTCGAGCCAATACTTCCGTTTTGTTTCCTTTAAAACTCCCAAAAAGGATACCCTCCAAAAACGACACACCCATGAGAAAGCTCCCTGTTGCCTGCTTTGGGGCTTCCCTTAAGATACTAGAGTTTGGGTCGATCATAGAGGATCCATGTGGTCCGTTGCTAGGAAAGCCCACGCGGCACATTTAGAACTGAGGGTCCCCCTACTTTTGAGAACAAAATCAGCCCAGGTGCGACCCCAACAGCAACCCGCAAGAAACGACTCTGGAACCCGGAAAGGCCCGGATCTGGGCTCTTATTTGGAGAACATAAGTACATGGGTATGTCTCCTTTTTGGTGTACCCTTGTTGGGTTTGGTTTAAAGGGGCCGCCAAAAACAAGCCATTTTTTGGGGGTTCAACCCGTGCACTTGGCAAAGGATCAAAATGTGTGTGGGGCAGCCGGATACCAACTGCGTCACGCACACTTTCGAGAAGGAGTACCAGAGCGCCAAGGACGGTTTCCGCGGGCAAAAAACAACGGTTCACCCGATTTTGGATCCCAGTCTTTTTTTCTCCAGGGGAGCCGCTCGATTTGGACGTTGCGCCGGAGCCAAAAGGAGGCTGCCTGCAGGGAAGCCCAACGGAGGTTGCGATCTGAAAGGTTAGGGGAGCCAGCAGGTTGAAACAGCTTGGAACTGAATGTGGGTATGTCTGTTGAGGGGCCACCAAAATGGCAAACCGGTTCTCCTTTTTGGTGTCCATCTCAGACCGCAAAAAGGGCTTCCCTCAAACAAATGACACCACCATGTTGGTGCCTTTGCGAGACCAAAAGGATGTCAGGCCCCGCTCAAACCCAAACGAGGAGCTCTTCACTTCTGGCTACATCCGCGACTCCACCGTGGATCGCGATGGCATCTTGAAAATCTTTGGCCCAACGGCAGGATCGTACCAGGACTCACCTTGCGGATCGTTTTTTGTTCATCCTTTGCATAGCTTTTCCCCCCTACTTGCATTACTTTCCGCCTTGATTTTCATTCCCCCTGAGAAAGTCACTTGCCACCCTTTCTGTCGAAACTCCCTGTCCAGGACTGTCCCATGCAGAGACCCGGCTTCAACATCCAGTGCAATGATGGGAACAAGGCTCGCTGGGGATTTTGCCTGAACTGCGCCAGCCAGGGATGCCAGAACGATGATAGCAACGATGCGGATGCGGCCATTGGCATTGGACTGGCTGGTCAATCAACACCCACCGAGATGGGAGCAGGCTGGACCAACTACTTTGCATCTGGAGCTGGCACTTGCAGCGCGAACAGCATGACCCACAAGAGTGTGTGGGTGTTTGTTCTGAGCAATGTGCTGGCCTCAAAGCCTTTCACACGCACCCAGCATACTTGGTCCACCGTCATGAAGATTGGAAAGACCACGACGCTGGGATTCAGCTCTGCGTACTGGGAGAATGACCAATTGCTCAACGAGAACACCGATGTCACTGTGGAGGGTGATGGTAAGTACTCCAGCTACTTGTCGCAAGCCTTCAAGACGATCCGCATGTGCGTGGGCAGCCCCGACTCAGGCCGGAGGCGAAAATGGAAAGGACTATGTATGCAATTCTACCATCTACGGGAATGTCCAATTTGTACCTGCTGTTTCTATCGCTCAGGCTTTCCAGTTTCTCCATGTTTCCAATTCTTGAGCGATTCTTCCAGTTGCGTTACCGTGTTTTCGTTGCTACGTGTTCTCCTTTTTGTGGTCGGGTTCTTTTCCTGTTTATGTCTCCTGTGCTCCAGCACCAAGTAGTGGCAATAGCAGCAGCAGCAGCAGCAGCAGCAGCAGCAGCAGCAGTAGTAGAAGAAGTAGTAGTAGCAGTAGCAGTAGCAGTAGCAGTAGCAGTAGCAGTAGCAGTAGCAGTAGCAGTAGCAGTAGCAGCAGTAGTAGTAGTAGTAGTAGTAGTAGTAGTAGTAGTAGTAGTAGTAGTAGTAGTAGTGGTAGTAGTAGTAGTAGTAGTAGCAGCAGAGTAGTCGTCGTAGTAGTAGTCGTCGTAGTAGTAGTCGTCGTAGTAGTCGCCGTCGTAGTAGTAGTAGTAGTAGCAGCAGCAGGAGTAGTAGTAGTAGTAGTAGTAGTAGTAGTAGTAGTAGTAGTAGTAGTAGTAGTAGTAATAGTAGTAGTAGTAGTAGTAGTAGTAGTAGTAGTAGTAGTAGTAGTAGTAGTAGTAGTAGTAGTAGTAGTAGTAGTAGTAGTAGTAGTAGTAGTACTGCGTACTAGTACTAGTACAAGTACAAATACAAGTACAAGTAGCAGCAGTAGTAGCAGTAGTAGTAGTAGTAGTAGTAGTAGTAGTAGTAGCAGGAGCAGGAGCAGCAGCAAGCAGTAGCACAAGAACCTTACTTTCAGTTGGGGCCGTCTGGCTTGAAAAAGTCAATCCGGCTCACTTACGACCGTCTTGCAGGACATGCCAACTCCAGGACTCAACATGACACCTAGATTGCTGGTTGCTGGAGCATACAATCGCCGGTCACGAAACCATTCGGGAAATTCATTGTTACCTCACGCGTAGCCGTGGTGGTGGTGGTGGTGGTGGTGGTGACGGTGATGGTGAATGTAGTGGTACAGGTAGCGGTAGCTGTTGCAGGAGCAGCAGTTGTAGTATTGATGGTGGCTGTTGTGCGGTTGCTCACTTGCTTGCTTTCTGATGTGTTTCGATGTTATTGTTAGCGATGATGATGATGAGGATGATGATGATGATGATGATGATGATGATGATGATGATGATGATGATGATGATGACGATGACGACGACGACGACGACGATGATGGTAATGATGATACTTTTTGTGTTTTGGCTAATCCGCATTTTGGTTGTTTATTGGTTAGTGGTGTGTTTAGAGTTTGCGTGGTTGGTCTTGTTGGTGTTGTTGGTATTGTTGTTGTCGGCGTGGGTGTTGGCGGTGTTGGGAGCGGTGCTGTTGGTGAGTCTGTTGCAGTTCCGCTTTTGCTGGTGTTGCTGTTGCTGAAACCGAAGTTCAGCTGCACTTCGATCAGCGCCAGCGCGCCTGCGAGGCTGCGTCACTCACACCTTTGGCAAGGAGTACAAGAGCGCCAAGGAGCTTTTCACGTCCGGCTACATCCGTGACACTGCCGTGGATCGGGATGGCATCTTGAAGACGTTTGGCCCAACTGCGGATTCATACCAGAACTGTCCCATGCAGAGACCCGGCTTCAACATCCAGTGCAATGATGGGAACAAGGCTCGCTGGGGATTTTGCCTGAACTGCGCCAGCCAGGGATGCCAGAACGATGATAGCAACGATGCGGATGCGGCCATTGGCATCGGCCTGGCCGGTCAATCAACACCCACCGAGATGGGAGCAGGCTGGACCAACTACTTTGCATCTGGAGCTGGCACCTGCAGCGCGAACAGCATGACCCACAAGAGCCTCGGTTGCCCAACACGGAGCTTTTGACACGTTTTGCCCTGGTTTTCCAAGCTCTGGTTGAGTTCGGGTCAAGGTCTCAAAAGCTTGCTCCTCTACACTGGAACCCCAAAATCCGCCCATTTTCAGGATCGGACTTTGTTGGGTGTTCGCTAATTTGTGGAGTCTCCGATTTCCAGGTGCTCCAAATGCGGGTTGATGAACAGTTCCCTTTTTTTCTCTCCGGGGTCCTGGTTTGGGCGATGTTCCTCAGGGGATCATTTGGGTATGGGTCAAAATCAAACCACCAGCAGAGCGCAGGTTTTAGTCCTGGGCTATATTTGCCAGGGCAAGCCATTTTGGGCACCTAATTTTGACACCCACGGCCATTTCTACGGTGGCTGCTTTCCGGGCGCCCCATTTTACTTTTTTTCCGCGAGGAGCGTGTGGGTCTCCGTGGCGGTGCCGGGCAGCGAGCAGGTCTTTGCGGGGAGCGACCTGCAGATGGCCGGCGATTTGGCTCGGAGCGCGCGTTTTTTTTCCCTTCTTCTTCTTCTTCTTTTTTCCACTTTGTTCATTTTCTTTCTATTTCTTCTTTTTTTTGGTGTTTTTTCGAGACCCGTTCATTTTTGTGAACCCCTTGAGGTTTGAGGAGATTGGGTGGGTCTGAAGAAACATCAACAGGTTGAAATCTGGGTATTCCGGTTTGTCCTTTCTCTTTTTCTCCGTGTTCTTTTTTGGGCCTTATTTCTCTGCTTTTCAGATTTCTTTTTTGGGGGTCCCCCATTTCGAGGACAAACAGGCACCATAGAACTCGGGCGCCGGCCATTTTGGTCGAAGCCATGGGAGGTCCGGATCTCGATGTTTGAGTTGCGAGCCTCTCGAGATCTGCGGAGTCCTTTCCGGCGGTTTCGGGTTGCCATCTGACTTTTTCCGGGGTCCTCGCCAAAACAATGTATACATTTGGTCGGAGAAATATGGAGCAGAATCTGAACACATGTTTTGCTGCGTGTCTCTTGTCTGGGGGCGAAATGCTACCCTTGTATCGAAGCAGCAAGTTGCTAGACTCAACTTGACCCCAAAGAAATTTCAAGAACAACTTTCCTGGGCCCTTGATCCCGAAGGGTTCACTCCCCCACGATTCCACTTTTGAGAACTCGCCAAACAACGTCGCGGGTTTCTCACAGGGTATCCTAAAAGTTCAGGATTCCCTTCAACCGCGCCAAGCACAGAATTCCCCACATGCCAACCAAATCCAAAACATCGGCTGCGCCTTTTCGCGGCGTTAAAGGCAACTACGTGACGGTGGTGGGCAGTGAGAAGGCCACCTTCTTGTCGGAGTGCTCGCAGAAGCTCTCCCCGGCCAAGTGCGTGGAGGTGTCGATGCCCCGCGAAAACGCGAGAATATGCGGGGTCGGGCAGTTGGAAGTATGTGTTTGTGGGGAATCGCCCTGAACTCTTTCTTTGCGGGGGTGGGGGGGCACCTTGGGTTGGTCAAAATTTGAACTTTGGACTTTCAATGATGGTGGGTTGTCCTGTTGGTTTCCCTTCAAACTAACCCCCCAAAAAGTCCAAAACGCAAGCCCAAGTTGCTCTCGGCTTCTTGATGGGAGGGTCCACAGCACTTCCTTGCCGGATAGAAAAAGGTTTGATGGATTTTAACATAAGGTGACAGGGAAGGCTTCGCAACAATACAGCACCCAGCTGGTATGGACACCCTGTGAGCACAAAGCTGGAACATTCAAGTATGTCATAACCAAGTACAAATCCGAGCTACTCACTGACACTGGGAAAAACCACCTCGCCTAGGACACATCCCAAACTTTTTTTGGGGTCTGCCAACCGCGGGTGGGAGGGAGGCCCGAACTGCTTTTTCAAACAGGATATGAACCAACCAGGTCTACCAAAAGGAGGTCCCCACCTGTGTTAACTACAGCAGGTGGGCATTGAGCGTAGGAAGGGGTTGAACCGGGCATCCTTTGCTTGGTAGGGATCGCCAGACCACTTGATTTCTCCAGAAACTTGGCTTTCCTTACTCGTTTTCCCTGGTGTGGTTTCCGACTTGAAATTTTGTTTCGACTTGAAATCACCCCCGCCACGGCTTCGTGGCCAAAAGACGTCTTGCTACGGGTTTCCCGCAGGATGGATGTACTATGGATGGTTGCGAGTTCCTTTTCGCCCCACCGTTTAGAAACCCTGGAATGATTCGATTTCCCTGCAAATAGCAACAAACACTGATTTCAACCATGGTTTCAAAGTGGTGCAAGGTGTCGTTCATCCACAGTAGGGGGACAAATTTGAGGCATTTTCACCCGCTCCGAGCATTGTATGTTGGGGTTTTCGATTTGCAGCCCTTGATACTGTTTTGATGGACTTCCCCCCACAAATTGTCGGGAGGTCTGACAGCGCAGGTGTTGCCTGGGACGAAAAGCTTCACTTTGAGAGTGGAGGCGACCAGTCAGGAGCAAGTGGGAGCTTACGGCTTTGTAGACAATGAGCACAAAAAGGTGTGGGTGTGTTGTTGCAGGTGGGTTGAAGGGGACACCAAGAGGACACCACCCAATTCGGAGGTTCCTTCTTTTGAGACATACCATTGTACCTCTGGTTACAAGTCAACCAACCCAAATGATTTCGCTTGCAATGGCTGGCCTGCTCTATTGCTTGCCATCCTCATTCTAGTCTCCGAAACAAAAACTCGCGCTTCACACCAAAACCCATGCCCACAGCGCCGAACCATGTCACACGCCCATGGCTTTGTCACACGCCCCATGGTTTCTCATCAAGGCCCCAGAACGCGGCAAAGGACCCGAAAGCTTCTTGGAGCCCACGTTGACGGGTGAGCCCGGAGGATAATTTTGGGGGTCCAAATCGATGTGTGGCACCCCTGGAGCCCAGCGGAACCTCAGCCGGATCACTCTTGAGCCCAAATGAATTCACTAGGTTGATGCAAGCCTCCGCATAACACCGGTCTTTTGCGCGCGGGAAGGAAAAACGCCCAGCGGGCGTGTGTCAGGCAAGTTTCAGAATTCGGAGGCCTCTGCCGTTGAAATGGCGGTCTCACTCGACTCGGGGATGTAGGGGGCCCGCCTCCCACTGGATGGGCCGTTTCTCAGGTGAGAAACGCTTTGGCAGTATATGGCTGTGGTTGTCAAAACCAATGGGATCCCATTTTGGGGTAGGGGAATTCACCACCCATTTTAGAACCTATTTTAGTGGTTGGATTGGGATGTTCACTGAGGGTACGATTTGGGTTTTGACCCACAGCCATATCATGGGACCAGAGGGGTGCCGGGAATGAACAGAAAGAGAACCGCAGGCACGCGGTTCGGATCTCGCCTGGAACCTTGGGCAAGGAGCTCTCTCTCCCTCAGAGGTTTAGAGGACGATCAGCCCCTCCCAGTCCCATGGTGTGCTCAGTGTACCAGTTGATGCGAATTGGTTGGGTGGAAATCTGAATGATTTTGAGGCGTTGGCTTCGCACACCTTTGAGGGCTTCACACCGAAAGTCATGTCGGGTCCCGTTCCCAAGTCCCAGGCTCGCCATGCCCATGCCTTAGGAAGCCCTTTTGGGGAAATGCCAACCGGTGGTTTTCCCCGATTCTTATCGCAGGTTTTCGACTTTCGGCATGGCTCTGATTTCCAGAGGACGGTCTTGAAGGCCCTTAGGGCCACAGTTCTCCAAGCGAAACACAGGCTGTTGGATCTGATCTGACCCCTACAGCTTCTCCCAAACACGTTGCCCAGCCTGAGGCCTAGGCCTGCTTTTGGGTCAACCTGCCCTCAGCACCCCTGAAAATCTCATGGCTGGTCGCAAAGAACAGGTACCCGAACTGGAACCCTAATGGAGCCCAGAAACCTGCAGTCTGGTTTCATTTCGACCCACCCCTTCCCAGCCCGGGACCCATGCCGACGACTCTGTTCGCTGGCCCAAACCAGGAGGCGCTGAAGAACGCGGTGACGGACCTGCAGAACCGGGGCGTGGACCTGCCGTCCTTCAAGCGGGCCAGCGCCTTGCCCTCCAAATGTGTCGGCACCAAGGCGCGACACACATCCGGCAGCAGAAATTAGGGGGGGGCTTTGGGGGTGGGTGGGGGGGAGGACGACGAAATATCCCTTCTTTTTGGGTAGTTTGAGTTGTTTTTGTTCTTTTCTTTTTTCAACGTTTTTTTTGGGGGTAATATCCAATATCCCATTTTTGTTGGGTTGAGGATCCAGGTTGAATCAAAGGGGTTGATTGAAAGGGAGGGTGAAGAAGAAGGATGGAGGGTTAAATAGGGAAGGGTCGCACAAAAGGCTTTGGAGAGGCAAAGTACGCGAATGGGAGAAATTGTGGAGCAGGGCGAGGGAAGTGGATTTCGAAATCCCGAAGTCATTTGTGGTTTTTCGGAAGGTGTTTTTGGGGGCATGTAGTTTTATCGCAACATGTTTCAACGCCACGGCCAATGCGCCGTTTGGCTCAAGCTTTTCGTTCCGGCAGTTCCACCTGCAATTACGTCGGCGCCGCTACACGGCGACCTGGAGCTCCGCTGCAAAAGGTGCAGCGGCCCTCCGTTGGTCGGTGTTGTTGGTGCTGGTGGTTGGTCAGGACTTGGGGTTGGGAACGGTGCGCATTTGGTTTGCTTTGCTTGCTCGCTGCGCTGCTGTGTTTGCCTGCTTGGTTTGCTGCTTTGTGCTTGCTTTCGGTTGTCTCTGCCCTTGCTGGGCTTCTTTACCTTGTTACAACTGGCACCCTGTTTTGGTTCGTGTTTGGCCAGCCGAGGGCACCGCTTTGCCCTTGGGACTGGGGGACTTAAACAATCTCTTCTTGTTGGTGGGATTGGGCCTGTTTATTCTCTCCCGAAACTCTGTTTCAAACCCTTTCGCAGGTTATCAGCCGTAGGATTCGTCCTCGGTTGGCACCGCGAACCCCTTTTAATAATAACCCTGCAGGTACCGTAGGTCTCTGTAGGCGTCATGGCGGGAATCACTGAGGACGGACCTCATGTGGTGACCGACGAATGGGTTCTCGGCCAGGCCGGAATCTTGGACGTTGTGAATGACGACCAAGTGCCCGGACAGCCGATGTTTTCCGGTCCTGACTTTTTGTCGGACCACTCTTTTTCAGAAGCAATGCCTTCAGAAAGATCCAGTGCTACTCGCACTGATGATCTATCGTCTTATGCCTCAAGAGCTAATCGCTCTCAGGGTCATGGGCCTAATCGTCCTGGCCATGATGATTCCGTCTCAGGACGTGATGATGACGAGCCCGGTATTGCACCTGGAGCTCAATCCTCATCTTTCCCCGAGCTGATGAATATTGGTCAGTCCGAAATTCGTGACTCCCGAGGCAGCAGTAGACCTGTGCCAACCAGTAGCATAGCTTTTCAAGTGCTCGGTAATCCCGAACCTGGTACATCCAGTGGAGTTGCATTTGATGTTCATCTGCCGACCGAATCCGGTGGGCTCGATTGGAGAGCCTCATGGCCCAACGACGGAAACATTTTTGGTATGGATTTTGCCGCATGGATGCCAGGGCCACCCGCCCCGTCATCTTTCCCGCAATTCCAAAGCCCAAAACGGGCTGCTGGAAGCGATGAATTCATGCTACCTTTGTCGATTGAGAATCTCAATCCTGACGTGGCCAGCCGTAACGTCAGGCCAAGACCGTCGGTAAACCCGACCATGAGGAATATGTCCCCTCCCCCAGGACTTTCAGGATTTGAGAGCCCTAGGGAGCGTAATATCGTAGATAGATTGGATTTGCATCCCAGTCCAACCCCAAGCAAACGATCAAGGTCAAATTCGACTGGATCGCATAGGGCAAGGGGGATGGATCGGGAAACTGCCCACAGGGGTAACCCCAATACGCGGGACTCAGGACGCGGTCGATCAGGTGATCCAGCGTCGATCATTGGTAGAGACCCGTTAAACGCGGACACACTCGTTAACATGCTTGATGGGATCGAAGCATTCCAGGAGGAATTTAATAGGTCGAGTGGCTTGAACGCGCAAGGTGTTCGCCCTACGCCCAACGCGGCTTCCATTTTCGCTCTGGACAACATGGACGGAGCTAATGTTCCGATAGAATCTGAGTCCATGATGGCATCAAGTTCTAGTCGCAATCATACCATCAGTAATGCGACTGATATTGAATCGATGTCTGAGTCTAGAGTGTCCAATGCGACCGACTTGAATGACATTGTTATTGCTGACTCGAGACCTGATGTTCCTATGCGGGCCTGTTGTTCCTAAACTGTCCGTGGCCAAAGGCCTGGGCATGGCACAACCCTCTGCGGTTCGTGATGCTAGGAGATCTGCTCCGTATCAGAGTCAATCTCCTAATCGGAGTGGGTTCCCACGGCCATCAACGGCCGTGCAGGATTTCAGAACTCCTCCGAGATCTAATCCAATCATGGTTGATTTGTCCACTCCTCGAGATCGCGGATCAGGATTTGGTCCTACGAGTGAGGAGCAACCCAACGAGGTTGCTGAGCTTGTAACAGCCCTTGAAAGAGGGAGAGTGGACTCTTCGGTAAGTGCGATCATTCATCGCCTGGTTGCTAAGGTCGAAGACCTTGGGCGTAGGAATGATAGAAGTGATCAATGCATCAAGCAGCTCTCCACTGAGGTTAACTCGTGGAGGGCCAAATACGACCAATGCGTCCATGTGAGTAGCACGTGTACGCAGGCTGCAAACGCGGCCATGCAGCTGTCACAAGGGACTAAGGACATCGTGGCCGAGCTTGGCCAACGCGTCAAGATCGTTTCCAATCGCATGATAAGCATAGGCGATGCCCTAAATGAGCGAGCCAGCTATGATGATGTTGCTCGCTCCATTATACAGGTTCAAACTGTTTTTGAATCTCTTTCTGATCGAGTAACCGGGCTTATAGCTCGTGTTGATATGATCGAGAGATCTCTAGTGGAGAGCCAATCCAACCATCCTGCGATTGGTGGAGTAAACCTCAAAATCGAGGACCTGTCCACTAGGGTATGTAAGATTGATAGGATGATGCAAGATGTCGAACAACGCTGGACCAATGATAGGGACGGCATAAAGCGGGTTAAAGACCAACTTTATGAGACACAAGCCAACCTTGAGATAAAGTCAAGGGACTGCAAATCCTACACGGACAAGCAAAATACTCATAACATGGCCGTTTCGACTACGCTCAACAGTAAGCAAATGCTCGAGGTGCTGGGTAATACGGCCCAGAGAATTAACTCCCTAGAGTCAAGGCACTCGAACCAGGCCTCAAGTAGTGGATTGAACGATCACACAGGAGGAAGGCGTGCCGCATCCCGTACTCCGGATAAGCGGCCACCTCCACCTGGCCCTCCTGATGATGATCCTCCACCACCTCCTCCTCCAGATTGGCAAAGCCCAGGAGGAGGGGGGAAGAAGAGTGCCGCCGGTGGGAACCCTGGCGACCCTGGTAAACCCAGATGTAAATATGTAGGTGATGGATATAATCATCTCATGGCTGAGTTTCACTGCAAGGGATGCAGAGGTGATATTTGTGAGTATTGTTTCTCGTTTAAAGAGAACCTGTGTGAAGAGTGTTCCCGTAACGGACCCCGATGCGGAGTCTGTAGGGAGAGCTCGTTCCTGACCAAGGGAATTGAGTGTCAGTTTTGTAAGACCTACTACTGCACCAGACATTCTGCTGGGCAGGATGACTACAGGAGATTTGGATTTGTCCAGGGTCCCTGTTGTCTTGCGTGCCTTAGGGACGAAACTAGGAGAAGAAGGGATCCCGATGGTAACCGTGTCAGGAATAGATCGCCTGGAGGCGTACCTGAGACGAATCCGACGCGGTCGTACTCGCCGCCTCTGCGGCCACCCGTTGACAGATTCCGTGACACTCCAACTGGGGGTCAACCCAACGCGGCTGACCTTCAGAGCCCTCCGAAGGCTACGCAACCCGTGCCCCTGGATAAACGTGAAACCGGATATTATCCAGGATTTGATCCCAACGGTACAAGGCCGAAGGATCCTTCAGGCCTTGAGCCGCCGACCATGCGTGGCCCCGATCCTCCTGACAAGAACTGTCGGATGTGTGATCGGGATATTCCTGACCCCAGCAAAATTGGGGAATGTAAGATATGCATGAAGAGGGCATGTGAGATTTGCATTCCGAAGGCTACTCGCCTTTGTCCTGTATGTGCATTGTCAATCGGTAGTTCTCAGGTTCCACAGCATCTTTTCGGAACTGGTGGCGGCGGGTACAGTAGCCACCATGATCCGAACTGTACAGCTGCGACCAAGTGCTCCCGCCAGAGCCCGATGCGGCTGGGCTGAGGGTATGGATAGCCAATATGAAGGAAGCTGTTAGCAATGCCTACAGCTATGATGGACTTTACGTCATCAATTGGCTAACTGAAGTCGAGAAGGCAAAGACCTTTGATGAACTGGATGGGGAATGTAAATACCACATCCTTGAAGCCAGGTTCAATGCAGCCATTCGGAAGTGCATCAAGACTGTTGCAATTATCGATAAGACTAATCGTCTCACCGAAGCCGCTCAACGCTCCAACAATCGCATCAAGAGTAGGCAGATCCTGTGGCTCTTATACGACCACTTAAGGACTGCAAATATCGGAGAGCAATCATTCAGGATAATTGAACTCTCAAACTTGCGATGCAGTGTTTCATCTTTCTATACTGAAGAGGAGCGACTTGAAAGGTTCATCGCGAAGTGGGATCACATCCTTGCGGGTCTCGATGAACCGCTGACCGAGCAGGTAAAGCGGTCGCTATTCAGTGAGAAGGTTAGACACCTCAACTGTTTGGCTCATGATATCAGGGAATGGGATAGGAACATATCCAACCCTGATGTTTGTAGCTATGAATGGCTTCGTGCTCGTTGTAAGAACGAAATTGACCGCTGGAGGGTTCGTAAGAATCAGGTCAATATGCACAAAGACTTTTACGAACGATCTCAGTCCAGGGACAGAGCCCAGAAACCTGGTGCTCCTGGTCCTCCCGTCAGGAGACGATCTCCGTTTGGAGATTCCCATAGGCCTAATCGGCCTCCTAGTGATCCAAGGAAGAGGAC